GCTGTTACATCAGGAGGATGCAGGTGCTGGCAGATGGGATCAGGCTGGTGGTCCATCTACTTCAGTCTCCTGCTTTGTTTTAGAAAATGGTTTTAAGTTGTGAGGCATTAAAATGTACACTTCCTCCAGCCACTTTGTAACCGGTACTCTGGTTATTCTGTAAGTTCTTACCACTCTGGACCTCTGAGCAGTCGCGGGGCTGTGAATTCCACTGACTGGGTGAGTTCCTTCCTTTGTGAAAGGAACTATTGTCTCTCCTCTGTATATTTTCTCCTGATACTGTTCTGCAAACCTGCCTTCCCCTGGGTTTCAACTAATTCCTTTTGGTACTGCCTTTATCATTATTCTTGAACTATTTTTTTTTTCAAAGGTCATTGCTTTCTAGTCTTCTTGTTGGTTAACTTTGGATGCTCCTTCTGTAACTGTTTCTGTTTCAAACCACCTTGTAGGAAAACACCTTTTAAAACAACTGGTGCAGCCCTCAGCCACGAAGCCAGACAATCCTCTGTGATAAGCAATACAATTCGGATAAGCAATTCAATTTGGAGAAAATTGGTTTAGTTTAGTGGAACTGTTTTACATTCCTCTGCCATCCACGCAACCGCCCTGCCTTTTATTTTGTATTAGAATTTGGGTTGTCATGATTTGCTATTCTTACACATCCACTGTATGTGCAGGGTGGAAACAATAAAAAAGGCTCTTTTTCTCCATTTCCCCCGGGTTTTTTTTTCGCATTCCCAGATCGAACTCCTTCTAAAATTTAAAAAAAAAAAAAAAAAGTCTGAAAGACAGACATTCTTCTATTTTAAACTCCCCATCTCCTGAAAGGATGTTAACCCTAGAAGGGTACATTTGCCTCTGCTGAGATTCTTATGTGGACTGAACTTCACAAGAATCCCATCTTTGGAGCTTAATGCCAAAGCACAGCGCAAGTTACTCTTGCTAGAAGCTAAGTTCTTGCCATTTCCTCAAGCAATGAATTATCTCCTGATATTCAAGTTATTTCAAAATATCCTTTTCAGTTAGGTGTGCCAGGGGCTAGTCCTAAGAAAACCCCTTTTAGTGTTTTTTACAGTTGCAAATTTTTTTTTGCTCCAATGCTTAATGGCGATATGGAAATTGCAATTCTTGCTTTTGGTCTGCGTTAACCTTTCTCTCTTCATTATTTAGAAACAGAAAGCTTTTGGTATCTGTCTCAAATCAGAAGATTATAGGTCTGTTAGTACATGTTCGAGAAGTACCCTTTCCGTGGGTGTTAATTACTGAGTATCCAGTTGAGTACACTAGTCATTAACCTCAAAAACAGTGACTCAGCAAGGTACCACAGCACACTGGGGTTATAAGAAAAAAAAAAAAAAAGAGGGAAAAAAGTGCGCTATTTTCTCACACCAGATGCCAGACAAGATGTATTTCTAGAGGAAAAGCTAGCAGGCAGCCTAAGAGCAAATGTGCATGGAGCCCTGTGTTATCCTTTCTGATAAGATCACTTGAAATATTCAGCTGGAGGCAAAAGCCCACTGAAGAGGGAACTTCCGGAGGATCTGCCTCATACTCCCAAATTAATTAAGATTGGTGGAAACGTTCCTGCTGGATCAGACCCAAAAAAGGGATAATTCACCTGTATTGTACCCAAAAAAGGTGACCTGAACGCTTGAGATAAATATTGTGCAGAACAAAAATGTTTTTCAATAGAGGATGAGTTAGATGGATGGGGTTTAATCTTATTTTTTTCCATAGACATTCAAGTCTAGTGATCTGTTTCTACAAAGAATGCAAAATAAATCACGTATTGTTTCTGTTTTCCACATACGTGCATTCCAGAAGAAAACAGACAGAGCAGACTTTCAGCCATGCAATGAATGTCTGCAGAAATGTATCCCACTACAGGTCTCTTCAGTCACTTTAATGGTGATGGATATGCAGGAAACTATAATCAATTACATTGCCCTGAAAATTACACAGTTATTTTCCAAAAAACCCAACAGGTAACAGTTGTTTGATGCAGTATAGCTTAATATTTCTCAGAAGACAGAGACCTTGTAATATTTGATATTGCTATACACACAAATTGTATCACTTCAGCAATACTGGTGCAGCTTCTGTATAGTCAGATTATATAGATCTGGCAGGCAGCTATGAGAAAGAAGAACCCAAAGTAAAACAGAAAAACGCATTTGTTAAACAGAATAGAAAATCTGAACAGGGAGATCTAAGGTCAGATCTAGGAGGTGATGTTCTCTAGCTCGATATTTGAGAATGTTTAAAAACTAGCCATGTGCCTGTGCAGTGAGCAGCGTGGCCTTCTGTAAGGTACACGCTCTCCCACTATCAGGTTACCGACAGCTTTGTGCTTCCTCCTCTTCTGCTTCACACCAGCTTAAAAGCCACTGCATGCCATCCAGGAGATGTGGTGTGGAGAGAGCTGGCAAAGGTGTCACTTGCCTTTTAGAAAGAGAGGTGTACCTGATTCCCAGCATTTCTCATAATCACTTAATTCTCATAGAAAATATATTTAAAATATTACTTGATTGGTGGCCTAAGTTAGGGTACAGAGTAAACAACATATTACACAGTCAAGCAGAGCCTCATCCCCCAAGAGTCAGAGCAGCCCAGAGGGAGACTATTGGAAAAATACACTCAGCCTGTGTGTTCCCCTTGCTGCGGCCCTTCTGCGTATCTCAAAAGAGGAATGATTAGCAGCTACAGGAGGCAGATTTACTTCTTGGAGAGATGGAGTATTAAATTATTTCACTTTCTCTTCCTGCTCTTCCAACCTCTCCCAATATATTTCAAACTACACTATAGCCTGACCATCTGCTAGATGGAGGAAAACCAGTGCTGTGCTTCCAGAGCCTCTTCCCTGTTCTGAGCACTGAGACTCCACAGGTTTGGCTCTTCTTCGCCATTTTGTTCCTTGCACCTCCTCTATCCTTCTCCCCTCTGAGCAAGCCTCCCGATTGCCCCAGGTCTCTGCTCCTACTGCTTTCTCCCCAAAGCCAGACCGAACAGCTTCACACTCCGGCTGGGCAGGGGCAGCTGAGCCCGTGAGGGACCCGGGCCGTGGGGAAGGAGACAGAGCAGGAGGCGAAGGGCTGGACACAGAGTCACAGAACCACAGAGTGCTCAGGGCTTGGAAGGGACATGTGGACACCCTCCAGCCAGACAGTCCTGCCAAGGCAGGGTCTCCCAGAGGAGGTGACACGGGGACACACCCTGGGGAGTTTGGACTCCACAGCCACCCTGGACAGCCTGTTCCATTGGGTATCCCTGGGCAGGCTGTTCCATGGGGGTATCCCCGGACAGCCTGTTCCATCGGGGTGTCCCCGGACAGCCTGTTCCATTGGGGTATCCCTGGGCAGGCTGTTCCATTGGGTATCCCCGGGCAGCCTGTTCCACTGGGGTGTCCCTGGACAGCCTGTTCCATTGGGGTGTCCCCGGGCAGGCTGTTCCATGGGGGTAACCCCGGGCAGGCTGTTCCATGGGGGTAACCCCGGGCAGGCTGTTCCATGGGGGTAACCCCGGGCAGGCTGTTCCGTGGGGGTAACCCCGGGCAGGCTGTTCCGTGGGGGTATCCCCGGGCAGGCTGTTCCGTGGGGGTATCCCCGGGCAGGCTGTTCCGTGGGGGTATCCCCGGGCAGGCTGTTCCAGAGGGGACATTTCCCCCCGACAGGAGGTTACCCGAGCAGGGCGGGCGGGCTGGGGGGTGCCGCTGAGGGGAGGGGGGCGGTCACGGCGCAGGCCCCGCGCATGCCCGCGCCTCATTCCGCGCGGCGGGAGCGGGGCGGGCGGGGCGGCGATGGCGGTCACGTGAGCGGCGCGGGGGCGCGCGCGCGCGCAGCCGGTGGGGGCGACACCGCGAGCGCCCCGAGCGGGGCCCGGCAGGACCCCCGGACCGGACCCGGCACCGACACCGGCACTGACACCGGCACGGCACCCTCACGGCACCCTCACCCACACGGCACCCTCACCGGCCCCAGCCCCGCTCCGCTCAGCCGCAGCGCCTGTTGGTGCTGCTGCCGCCGCTCCTGGGGAGGGGGCCGCCGCCGCCGCCGCCTCCTCCCCGCTCGGATCTATTGTCGCCACCACCAGCACACCCCCCCCTGCCCCCGCTCCCTCCTCGCCACAATTAATCCGATGAATTTGCCGTGATTGATCCGTATTAATAGCTGGGGTGGGTGGGCGTGTTTTGGGCTCTTTTTTTTTTTCCCCTCCCCTTTTTCCTCTTTTTTTTTTTTTTTTTTTCCCTTCTTCTTTTTATTGTTTGGTTTTGTTTTTGGAGGGGCCGGGCTGGGATCCGATCTCCACTCCCGAGTCCATCCTTGGTCGGTGCCTGAGAAAATTGCATCTGGATGCATCGTTATTATTATTATTGTGTTTGATCCAGGGAGATAAAGGAGGAGGGGGAGAGGAGTGCGTGTTGGTGGGGAGGGGAAGGCTGCACCCTTCCCTGCTCACACACACACGCAGACAGAAGGAGTTCCGTACATCTACATATATATTTCCACCCCACCCCCCCCATGGAACTTCTTTTAGTTGGGGAGGAAAGGAAGAAAGAAAATAAATTTTGTGCAAGGAAATACTCTCAGCTCCCTCCTTCCAGCGGGGCTCCTTTCTTTATTTTTCCCCCCTTCTTTTCTGCCTTTTTTCCTCTCTTTCGAAGATCCTCGCCCTCCCAGCCCCTTGATCAAAGCATTCCGCTATTCTGATTTATTGCCTGCTTGGTGAGGCTTTTTTTTTTTCCTTTCTCTCCTTTTTTTTTTTTTTTTTTTTTTTTTTACAAAGGCGACCTGAGATCAGCCATTACTTTCCTTGGCTCGCTTATAGGAATCTCTTACATTTGGTGCTTGCTGCTGGTGGTGGTGGAACCGCACTCGGATTCTTTCATCCCCCCACCCCCTTGCTGTCCTCTCCTCCCCTCCCTTTTCTCCTTCCCTCTCTCCCTCCCTCCCTCCCCCGTTATTCCGCCGGGGGAGCCGGATTTGTGGCTGCGGTGGGGCGGGGGGGGAACGAGAGCGAGAGGGAGAGCCGGCGAGAGACATGGATGGCCCGGCGCGATGCAACGGGCTTCGGAAGAAGCGGCGATCGCGGTCCCAGCGCGACCGGGAGCGGCGAGCCCAGGGCGGGCGGCGCGGCGGGGCCGCCGGCGGGGCCCCCGGGGCCGCCGCGCTCTCCTCCTCGGGCTCCGAGAAGGAAGACAATGGGCCCCCGCCGCCGTCCCGGCCGCGGCCCCCCCGGAGGAAGCGGCGGGAGTCCTCCTCGGCCGAGGAGGACATTATCGACGGTTTCGCGATGTCCAGCTTCGTCACTTTCGAGGCGCTGGAGGTAAGGGAGCGGCGGCTCCGCTTTGTGTGCGCGCCTCATTGTGTGTGCGGGGGGCAGCGCCGGGGAGCCCCCGCGGCGCCACCCGGGCACCCCGCCCCGATCCCGCCGGGGTGCCCGCGGGGCGGTCCCGCCGCCCCTCCCGTGCCCCGGGGGTGCCCCGGTCCCCTCCCCTCGCCCTGCCGACACCTGCAGCCCGGCGCGCCGCTCCCGGCGGGCGGCGGCGGGACCGGGGCCGTGCCCCCCGCGCAGCCCCGCATCCCCCGCGCCGGCAGAGGGGACTCTGTGCGCGGGTCCCCCGGCGGCGCTTCCCTCCCCTCCCTTCCCACGGATCAAACTTTTCTCGCGCCGCCGTGGCCCGGCAGGGCCGCCCACTCGTGTCCGCGGGGCGGCGGGGGGTCGCGGTGTGCGTGTGTGCGTGTGTGTTTCCTCTCTCGCTCGTGGTGCGGAATCGGGGGCGCCCGTCCTGTCGCGCTCCCTGCTGGCATGTCACGAGTGGGCCCCGCGGTGGGCGGCTCGAGTCACCCCCCCGCAAATGGTGGGTGAGCCCAGGCCGGGCCGAGGGAAGCGTCGCCCCTGGGGCTTCTCCTCCCCCCGCCCGGCCCGGCCCCGGCTCGCCGTGTCCCCTCCGCCCACCCACTCGCGACCATGGGACCGCTGTCAGCCCGGCCGGGGCCGTGCTGGTGATGCTGCCGTTTGAGGGGAACCTCGACGCCGTGTGTTGGAAGGGCTTTGTTGTTTATAACTTCTGATCCAGAGAAGTTTGCTGTGGTGAAAAGCGGATTTATCTGGGTTTGTGTTGCACTGGAATCACAACTGGAACGATGATGAGCTGTCAAAATAAATGTGGAGGTGAAGCTGATTGTTTAACAAAAAAAAAAAATCTGTGGAGCTCTAAAGCTGTTTAAATATTTAGCCAGGAATACTTAGTGGCATTTTCAGGTTGGGTGTTTTTGTTTTCCTTTTTTTTCTTTTGGTGGTTGTTTTTGGTTTGGTTTTGTTCTGGTTTTTTTTGTAGCCAGATTTTGTCTTTGGTTACACCTGTATCCATCCAGAGACAGTGGCTGTGGTGTAATTGAAGGGAGGATTTGTTCACTCCAACAAACCTCCTCATGGTTGGTGTTAGACTGGTGTAAGCAATAACGAGCAAATGCTGAGGTGATGTCCAGACCCAATTTATCCACCATTTCTCACCTGGTGAGCCCATCCACAAGTGCCATGCTCAAACCAGACAGATGAAAAGTATGAATACACGTTTGTTGGCAAGAGTGAGATTTGTATGCTTCTGCTTCGGACAAAATTCCGTTCTTCCTCAAACAAAGCCCTAGTTTGTGTCATTAAGGGTTTTATGGGAATATGGACTCGAGATTTTGGCTGTAGTCCTTTTTTCAAGGGAAATGAAGAGCGAGTTTTATGGTCAGAACTTGGTAGGGTGTTTTAGAAAATATCTTTATTCTGTTTCCCTTCTTGTTTATTTTCCATTTGAAAATAATTGCTATGCTCTCCTTTCTTGGCTAAGCCAAGAATGGCTACTACTTGCATCCTCTCGTAATCCTATATCCCTAAAAAGGAGTGCAGAAACATTACCCAGTTCTGCCAGCTAATATCACATTCAGATAAAACAATAGCTTGCACACTGAGACTTGACATACTTTTAATGTTCATGTGATAGGTGGCACATTTTGACCTAACGATTTCATGCTGCGTTGAGAAATAATGTCACAAAATCATTGTTAGGTGCTTTTTCCTGCAGCTCCATATGTATGATGAGAAACTTGTTTCTGAGGATCAGAGGGAGACGGAGGTGTCTAAGGCACCAGCCCAGTGTGGCAGGAATTACTGTGTGCTTTGCATGTAGCAGCCTGAAGTTTTTATCGTGGTTCTTGTGTTGGCGAGGAGTTTGTGAGTGGCTGGTGGAGTGAGATATCTCAGCCTTGGTGAGATGTTTAAGTGTTAATGTGCTTGAATTGAGACAAGAAGCCTTGGGTGCTGTGAAGAATTGTCCTGATATTTGTGCATCTCATGCTCTGGGTCTACCCCCAGCTCGTTGGAGGACATGGAGATTTTCCCCAGGTTCCAGAAGACACTTGTGCCCATGTTGTTGTGCATGTTGACAAGACTGTCCCAGCCCAGGCTTTGTGCTTGAACTTCAGCCTTTTCTTAGGCTTAGCACAGCTGAAAGTGTGCAAAAACAGTGTTTTGTCTGCCTGATGTGAAAAACTGTGAGAAGGAAAGTGCAGAACACCTTCACCACAGAAAGATCTAAACCCATGGCTCAGAAGACGGGACAGAGGTAGGTGGTGGCTCGTGCAGGAGGGAACAGCCACTGTGGAGGGACAAGGGTGAGCTCTCTGCTTCTGAGGGCACTTGTAGGGGTGTGAGTTGGCTGGGTGCGAGGTGTCACCCCAGGATCTTTTTATGCATACTGTATCAAATTGCAAGCAGGAGCAAGAACTTCCATACAGCTTCACCTTCCTCTACAGAGTGCTTTTTGTTGGGGTGACTGAAAAAGCCCACCCTGTGTAAAATAACAGGTTGTGTGAAGCTCTTAGATGACAAGGGGACACAGGAGCTGCACAAGAACACACATCCCATGGCTGCTGTAGCCTCAGGAGGAGTCATTCAGTCTGTTATGGTTGTGTTGATAAAAGTTCCCATCCCTTGAAGCAAAACTTTAACCAGCTCCCACTCTGGGAACTGCTTTTATGTCCCGGTGTCAGTAGCCTTCTCATGCTTCTCAAGCGTAAATTGGTGTGGAAACAGAGGCCATTGCTTATAGTCATCTGTCTCTGTGTTTATGGCACCCCATACCTTGATGTCTCTAATGTCTGTGTGGGGAATACAGGGGAAGGGGAGTTAAATGAAGTCAGTGGTGTCTCATTGTGGATTTTTTTTTTTCTTGGAGTGACAGTTGAGCCATTCCAGTGTCCTTGCAGATGTGGCCAGAGTGATCCTTACCTGGCCTTGCAAGACCTCTATGTAGCTGTGTGCAATGTGGGCCTGGCCCCTACACTGGGGAGCATTCTGAAGCCTTGACCTTCAGAAACCAGCCCTAAATCTGTAGGTAAGCAGCTGAGATGTGGTCCTACAACTTGATCTGGTTCACCAGATTCTCCCATGAGTGGCCTTGCTGGGATTAACAGCAGCAAGCTCTGTGGTTTGCTCCAGAGCAGTTACCAACCTCCCCAAATCTCCCAGGCTGTGAAGGGAGGAAGGCACAGGCTCCATCCCCATGTTAGTGTGACTGGTGGCTTGTCAAGCTGACTGTTTTTCCCAGCTTGGAGCAGCCTGTGCTGCACTGCTGGTGTGTTTGTTACCAACAATAATTGCATGAGGTTCTCCAAACCCAGGTGGGCATTTTAGATGCCAGTTTGACAGGGAAAGGTCATTTCTCAGAATGTGATAAATCAATCCACTGGAGTGACTTTCTCCGTGATGTGCTCTGGCAGTGCTGGCAAGGAGGTTTCTGCAGAGCTCTGTGGTGAGGTGAGATTTCTCTAAGATGTTTGTCTCCCTCCTACCCCCTGGTGCGAAGGACTCTGGGCAGGAGACTGACGTGACATGGCTGTTGACGTGCCATGGTGAAGATGGTTTACTGTGATGAGAAAGGAAATCTGACCTGAATGTTAAGATAGCTTAAAGCCTAGGAAGTACTTTATGTTTCCTGAGTCAGCTCTGACCATCCCTATGGAGTAAGCAGTTGGTTTCAGGTTTTCTGAACACTGAGTAAGGTAATGAGTTTTTTTCTGCGGATGTTTGTTTAGCTTCAGCTCAGGCAGTTCATCTGACAAGCCTGAAATGGGACACAGATATTTATAAAGCACAGATAGAAGTGGGGTGGGAAGCGGGGGGACTTGCATTTAAATGGGAATTCTTGTTTCATAAAACTGTCACAATTTCTCACTGCGTTTGCTGAGCTAATTTCTGTTCAGCACACGGGCATTAGTCTGTTTTGAGACCATGCTGAATTATCGTCAGGTAAAGCCCAGTATAATTAATTACAAATGAGAAATGCTGACAAATATTTGTCAAGGAGCTGTTTAATGAGCTTTAAATTCTGTGTCAGATGATTCCATCCACCTAGTGTAAATAATTTTTAAGCAATTGTTCCACTGCATTTGTGTGGTTTAGGCAGATGTTAGCTACGGCAGTTTTACACATTGGACAGATAGGCTAAACAGCTGATCTGGGCTTCAGAATAGAGACACTACTGCTACAAAAACAAAATGTGGAAGTAGCAGGCAGGTCTTGAAGATGCTGTGGTCTCAGCTGTGTGTCTGTGTGCACGGACAGTGTGGCTCAGTGAACGCATCTGAATGCAGGAATTTGCTTTAATAACTGTGTGTGATACTCATCTCTAGGCATGGCCCACTGAAAATAGAAATAGCTTGGCTGTGTGACAGCAGAAGCTGGACACCAGAATGGCTGGCTTGCTGTGTGGTTTTCCTCCCCAAATCATTCTCTTCTCACCAGTCTTCTTGCTGGCCTGATTAGCCTGTTTACTTAAATTCTTCGAGATTTCAAGCAGGTTTGTTCTGCCTTGTCTCAATCCCTTCATATTTCAAAAGGAATTTGATCTTCAAGACTTACCACAGCAGCATCATAACATGAGGTGTTTGTTTAGTGCTGTCAGCAAATCTTGGTGGCCCTTCTTGTGTTTGTTGACTGCTTAGATGCTTAGGTGTTTGTCCCTGTCTCTGTTTGCACGGGCAAGTCTGCAGATTTAGACCAGCAGAGAAAAGAAGGGAGTAACTAAATGAAGATGTCTGGGGATGGGGAGAGGCATTAGGCTTTGTGTGACACTGGGATATCATATGAAGCAATGCATTTATTATTTCCACTGTGTATTTTAAGGAAACAGTAAATTGACCTGAGATCAAATTTCAAGATAACCTTGATAGAGCAAGTGACTCTCTTGATGAAAACCAGTCTGGTCTCGGTGAGCAGACCTGAAAAAGCAGCAACTCAAACTGAAAGTGGGACTGAAAACAGCAGGATGCATG